TCGCGTCTCGGGGCTACAAACGCCCAAACGAGCATTTTTCTTCAACATAAAGACGTCAGTTATGAGTTCACGGACCTGTGATTATGCTGGAAAGTCCACGGGTGTGAAGCGAGAACGATTCGTCATGGAACTCCACGACAGAAATGGCCTGCTCCATGACCTGTACCGGTGCAACTGTTTTCGAGTCTCAGGGCTACAAACACCCGAAACGAGCGTTTTCTATCAACGTGAATACGCCATTTGTGAGTTCACGGACCTACGAGTATGCTAGAAAGTTCCTGGGAGTGAAGCGAGAACAATTGGTCACGGAGCTCCACGACGGAAACTTGCCTACTCCATGACCTATACCGGTGCGGCTGTTTCGCGGACATGGCACTACATGGGCACCACATGTGTCAAGGACTTCATAATTTCAACATGGCAGAATTTCATCTCTCGTAGATTCTACACTCCTAACGGTGGAGGGGAGTGTTGGAAATATGATTGTGTGTTTTTATCTTAAAGTACACTGTTCGAAGTGTGCTAACGAACCTCGCCATAGCGAGAGTTCTGACTCAAGTATCGAGCTATAGGGGCGCAACCGCGTACAGCATTTGCGACCCATGTGACAGCTGAAGGGTCGAATTGGGCAGGAGGCATCGTCTACAATACGTGAAACTGACATGCGGGGCGCGGCAGAATACCGCGCCCTTGCCGAAGCTGAAAGGTCTCGCCAGCGCGACTGTAACAAGGCAACCCAAGCGACGCAGCGCAACTGTTATACAGTTGCGCCTCGGTAACCGTTTGCCCTATGCGCTTGCTATATTACAAAATGTAATGCCTTGCTATTATTACACAATTCTCAAGCTTGTGTTCGGCCTACCCTCGGCTTCGCTTTGGCACCACGTTACAAGCCGAGAGAGCTACCTCTGAGTGACCATAGCCCCGCCGCAGGGACGTCGTTAATTCCTAGAGTATTTCCGCTACTCTAGCGACCTCTTAATTTCAACATGGTATCAGAGCAAGTGTTCAAACCCTTGGAACCTGTGGGAGCAGATTAATTCAGTTTGGCTCACCACCTTCTTCATCACCAGGAGCATCTCCTGGAGCAGGTTTGACCTGCCACTTCCCACGAAGCATTATGTGGATGAGATTTTCAACACGCCGTCGCATCATTTTGGGCAACTCGGCAAAACACACATCAAGGAATTTCGGCGAAGTTTCTGAGAAGGACATCACATCTTCAACATGGCAGTACTTCACCTCTCCTCGGTTCTACACTTCTAATAGTGGAGGGGAGTGTTGCGAATATGATGTTACGGATTTCATTGTAATCTACACTATCAGAAGTGTAATATCGAGCCCCTCCATATCAAGTGGGTTGAGTGGAGAATCGAGCTACAAGGGCGCAACCGCGCACAGCAGTTGCGACCCTCGTGGCAGCTGAAAGTCGCGATCTACAGTGGGCAGCGTGTACTGCACGCGTAACTGACCTGGGGGTGCGGCAAGATACCGCGCCCTTGCCAAAGCTGAAAGGTCTCGCCAGCGCCTGTAACAAGGCAACCCAAGCGACGCGTTTGCCCTATGCGTTTGCTATATAACAGAATGTAATGCCTTGCTATTATTACAAAATTCTCACAATTGTGTCTGGCTATCCCCCGGCCGCCGCAGTGGCACCATCTGCCAGGCCAGAAGAGCTGCCTCTGAGTGACCAATTGTCAAAGAGGAGTTCAATACGGTATTAGGCAAGGGTACAAGATATAGGAAATGCAAGAGGAGGCCAAGACAAAGGGTACAGCACCAGCAATAGGTTCTAATATCTGATTAGTACACTAACAATAAGCTGTAGGCAGTTAGGATATGCAATATAATTCAACAAAAACGCGTTGGACAAAAACGTGTTGGACAATCCGCGTTGGACAAAACGCGTTGGTCAAAACGCATTGAACAAAAACGGCGTTGGACAACGCGCGTTGGACAAAAGCGGAGTTGGACAATCCGCGTTTGGACAGAACGCATTGGACAAAACGCGCTGGACAAAAGCGCGGTACCGTATTACCTCGGACATACCACCCTAGGGTGCTATGATAACTACACAAAAAAAGGGGGGGGGGGTCTTGTCATCGGAAAAAGCTACATTGCACCCGGGTCGTTACATAATGTATATTTTTTTAAGAGCACAAAAGGTTGAGAACAAAATGTACATGTTTGACGCGGTGGTAGATTGTTGGTTGGGTGCGCAAAACCGAGAACTGGGCGATAACGTTAGTCTCGTGGGTTAGCTGCCACATTGCAAGCTCCAACAAGGCCCACAGTCAGGCCCTGATTGGACAGGAAACACACCCCCTCATCGCTCGACGACGATTCATGCAGTCACAAAGGCGGAGCGCCCGCAACAGCCTCAGCTGCCTCGCTGAGGCGGTCACGTCCTTGTACTGAGAAGGAGTTCATCCTTCTTTCTGTGCAGTGGCTCCATTCCACGAACTCGAGCAATGCTCGGCAGAGTGTGCTAACACAATCGAAACGAAGGGAGCGCGGACGGTCCACGTACGCACTGCCGGCTACGAGAAAGAACGCGTCACTGTTATGCTGGCAGTGACGGCGGGAGGGCTGAAGCTTCCTCCATATGTCATTTTCAAACGCAAAACCATCCCCAAAGTGCCCATCCTAGGAGGTAAGTATCCAGTTATTTCAATGTTCACTCTAGTTGTTGTATCCATTACTCTCTCTAACCACTCGCTCTCTTTGTGTTGTGAACGGCAGGTGTGGTCGTCCGTGCACAAGAGAAGGGGTGGATGGACGAAGGCCTTGTGCAGGACTGGATAACCCAGGTACTTGTGCCGTTTCTGAAGCCCATCCGCGAAAGAGATGTCAAAGATCTAATGAGCGTTGGGCTTAGGAGCCATAGCTCAGGATCCTTCAAGATTGAGTTCGAGTGAGTTTGAGTTAGGAGAGTCGAGAAATTGAAAAGAGAAGAAGGGTTTCACTATAGAGCGAGCAGTACATATAGGCAAAATGAAAGGTGCACCACCAAAACAGAACATTGTATAACTACAGTAATCTACACTACAGGCAGTTACAAAACAATATATAAAACTATATATTATTCTGACAAGAGACGGACGCCGCAGGGAGGCGTTGGTCGTCCTGGACTCCTACCGTGGCCATTTGACCGAAGCCGTCGGTCAAACCATGCGAATGTTCCGTTTGACGCGGGCGGTCATCCCGGGGGGGTGCACCCCGCTTCTGCAGCCGCTAGACATGTCCGTGAATCGCGCGTTCAAGGCTAGTACGTGTCACCGCTATGGCACTTGGTTTGAAGACATCGGGATCAACATGAGGACGCGTGCAGGTGAGATAGTCCCTTGCTTTCCGATCGTGTTGTTGTGCATGCGTGTCTGTGTATTTCATCAAACAACTCGGTGCGTGCCTTGCCCATCCCTCAGGCAATCTGCAAAAGCCTCCCGCGGAGACAGTTCTGAAGTGGATCGACGAGTCCTGGCAGGAGGTCCCAGAGGAGCTGATCAGGAAGTCCTTTGTCACCTGCGAGATTTCCACCAAGCCCGACGGCAGCGAAGACCACCTCGTCCTCGCACACCTGCGGGACAAGGGTGAGGTGGAAGTGCTGGAGGATGTGAATGAGATGGTTGAAGACGAGGTCATCCCCAACCCCTACTTCGAGGAGGCCCGCGTGCCGGAGGAGGTGCTGCAGGCAGACGACGACGCCATGCATGTGGAGCAGGACGAAGAGGATGCGGATGCGGAAGACGGAGATGGGGAAGGGTACGGGGCTGGAGAAGATGGGGATGCAGATGAGTGGAGCGAGGCCGGCTCTGACTGGTGGCTCCCCGACCGCTTTGACAGAGAGGAGGTTGAGGAATGGCATGCTGGGGACGATTCCTAAGAGGAAGGGCTTCTTCTATATAGGTAGATACCGTAGCATTCTGTCTGGATGGTAGTAGGCCCCATCTGAATGAAGGAAAGACTGTGTGATGGGAGTGATATCGCTGTATAGCGTGAAACGTAGCTTGTTTGTGCTGATGTTAACATGTAGATGGTTAATCATTGGAAACCCAGTGCTATTTAGGCAAAAACTGCATTATTACCCGTACATAACACCCCCCCCCCCCCCCCCCCGGGTGCTATATCGGGTCGCCCCAAAAGGGGGGGTATAGTAGAAATGAGGCCCGCTATAGCACCCCCCCCGCACAAGCCACCCGGGGGGTGGTGCTCTATTTCGGCGGGTGGTACCGTATGTCCGGGGTAATACGATACAAGTAGCAAACCGTACCCTCAGCATTACAATCCAGCGTAAGCGATAGAAATATACATGCAAAATGGTATGTGTACGACAGGTCTGTCTGCCACCCTGATTTCCCATAGTGGCCAGAAATCATGTTTCGGGTCTAAAGGGGAAGGGGGGGAGGGAGGGGGGCTTATGTTACAGCCACTATCTAGGAGAAAACAGCGCACCTGAATTCGTCAATCCCACCGAATGGTCTGTATTGTTGGGCTGAAAAGCCCTAAGGATCTTTGTAGAGTTAAAGTCTGAGTAGGATTGTAACAGCGGAAGCGTTGAATAAAAGGTCTTGAACCACCTTGCGCTAGTATGTGAGGGCAAAGTAAGTTACGGTAATTAAAACAAGCAAGTACAAGGCTTTATATAAGAGTACAACAAGGAATACGAATAGATATAATAACTGTCTTGCTGTTGCGATTCGATACAGTGCGACTCGGGCAACTGCTCAATGTCGAGTCAGTTGTGTGTCCTTGCTGTCGCGCTGTATTGGTGAAGTCAAAGGTCGCTGACCTTTGACCTTCGCGTAACCTCCAGGCGGTTACCTCCAACCTCCGAGGGTTGACTCGCGATGCTTCGATTCGGACTGCTTCGCTTTCGTGTCCAGACTTTCGACACGACAGAGGCGCTTAAGACTTATTGTTCCCAACATGTATTTCCTATTGATAACAGTGAATGCTTTCCTTGAACAATGTACAAAACATTACATTGCATGGTACCTACGCTAAATTAACTGTGAGAGTGCTCGAATGAGTGCATCTGTGTGCTCGGGCTTGCCGACGCTGATGCGAATGTAGTTGCAGAGGTCAGGCTGGCTGTAGTGCCGCACCATGATGCCCCGCGCTGCCAGCTCCTCCTGCCCACATGCCACCGTTCCCACCCCAACCACACACACCACCGCACACACCACCGCACACGCCGTCAGTGACTGCTGCGTACCGGTAACATACACGCTGTCCCAGCATCACTTCAACAAGTGTCATGACATGTGCAGGCATAGTGGGAACTTACCTTGAGCTGCTTGGCAGTCCAGTGGGTGTTGTGCAGGGCGCAGAGAATGAAGTTGGCATGGCTGGGGAAGGGCTTGAGGAAGGGCAGCGCTGTGAGGTGGTCCATTAGGCGCGCCCTCTCCCTCACCAGCGCATCCCTCACCTCCTGCTTGCACCCCCCGCCCACACATGGCCACACATGGCCACATGCACACGTAAGAACATGGCAGCATATGCACATGGGAACATGGCAACATGTGAACATGGCAAAATCAGCACATGACAACTTCACCACATGACAACATCAATACAAGACAACATGAACACATGAGCACAGATGCGAGCGAGTGCGGGTGCAGTGCACCGCTTATAACCCAGTTGCACCCACTCTTGTTGGCAACACAGACCTTACCTATTGCTGGTTAGCGGAAAAATGACATGCCTGCAGGTAGGGCTGGTTGGAGAGTGCTGCACAGGCAGCGACCTCGGCTGCAACAGACACGTTGTAGGGCTGCTTGGCGCGCCACAGGTACTCCACCAGCGGCAGCGGGAACGCCCCGTACCCCACCCTCAGCCCCGCCAGCCCTGCTCGCCCCCACGCAGCACAGTGGGGCAGAGGAGCACGGCATGAGGCGAGCAAGGGGGAATTCGAGAGGCAGCAATGAGAGGCAGCAAGGAGAGGCAGGGGCACGGAAGCTAAGGGTGGGGGTGGGGGTGCTGACCGGCGCGCTTGCTGAAGGTGCGGAGCACAATGAGGTTGGCGTGGCGCTGCACGAGCGGCATGGCGGAGGGGCAGTCGCTGAACTCAATGTACGCCTCGTCCAGCACCACCAGCACTGGTAGCCGCAGCAGCTGCTGCAGGTCCTCCCCACTCAACATGCTGGGCGCGTGGGGGGGAAGTGACGGGGGGAAGGGGGGGAGAGATAAGACGGGAAGGGTTGCACACGTGTCTGTTCGTGCGAATGTGTGATGTGGGAAGAGGGGACAGCATGGGGACGAAAGCCCATCTGTGCACTGAGAGAGCACGCACCTGCCGTCAGGGTTGTTGGGCGAGGTGAGGAAGAGCAGCTTGGGGCGGTGCGCCTCCACCGCCGCCACCACGCCCGCCACGTCTATTGAGAAGTCGCTGCGCCGCGGCACTGAGAGCACAGGGGGGGTTGGGCATAGAGGGGCGTGGGGTAGGGGAGAGGAGCAGACGAGTGGATGCAAGAGGAGGGAGCAGCGAGAGGAGGAAACAAAGTGGATATGCGGCAATGGAATGACCTGCGGTGCCCCCCTGCGGTGCCCCCCTGCGGTGCTCCCCTGAGGTGGAGCAGGTTGGGCTTACCCGTGATGACGCGTGCGTTGTTGACATGGGCGTCAAACGCATACATGGTGAAGGTGGGCGGACAGTCCACTATCGCCTCCCCCGGCTCCAACACACACCTGCTCGCTCGCCATCCAGTCACAGCACAAGCGAGCATACACCAACACAACACACGGGAAGGAAGGAAAGCGGCACAGGGGAAGGCGGCACAGGAGAAGGCGGCACAGGGGAAGGCGGCACAGGGGAAGGCGCGCCAGAGGAAGGCGGGCCAGGGGAAGGCGGGCCAGGGGAAGGCGGGCCAGAGGAAGGCGGGGCAGGGGTGGGGTGCACATGGTACACGATTTAGCCCGAAATGCGTGACCAGTCACAATGCACTCGTGGGAAGGGGGAGGGAGGGAACGGGAGAGAAGGGCAGGGGCGGGAGGGAGAAGGGGCGAGGAGGAGGTGGAAGGACAGGGGCGGGGGGAGAGGGGGTGAGGAGCGAGGCGCAGGGTTACCGCATGATGAGGTCGATGAGCTCGTCCGCCCCACAGCCCACGAGCAGATGCTCCATGGGCACGCCACACTCCTGCGCCAATGCTGCCCTCAGCTGGCGGCTCTCCGGGTCCGGATACACGTGCGGGAATGATAGAGACCCCAGCGCCTCCCTCACCTGCTCTCCCATGCACGCATGCACGCACGCACGCACACACGCACGCACACACGCACACACACGCACGCACACACACACACACACACACACACACACACAAACACACACACACACGCGCGCGCGCGCACACACACACATGCGTTTATACCAAGTGGGAGAGTTGCCCTACTGCAAGCAGGAAGGGCAAGCACGGCAGTGAGGAGGCACGGGTGGTCGAAGAGCACCCACGCACATGCACTGCCCTCGCCACAACCCCATCACCACCCTCACTGCTTACCGCGCCCTGCATACCCCACTGGCCCCACCACTCCCTCCTGCCCCCTGCATTCCCCCCCTCCCCTGCACTCTCTCCCCCCCCAGGGCAGCAGCGCACCTCAGGAGGCGGGCCGTAGGGGTTCTCGTTGGCGTCCAGCTTCACGATGTCCTCCGGCGCGCGCCCCAGCTGCGCCGACAGCACCTGCTCCGCCACCCCCCCCTCCGCCGACAGTCCCCCGCCCGCCCAGGCGCACCAGTGCAGTGAGAGGGGCGGGGAAGGAAGGGAGGGAGAGAGGTGAGCGATGCGGAGACTGTGGGGGGAGGAGAGGCGCGATGGGATTGAGGGTATGGAGTGGGGTAGGCACGGCGGGCAATGCAATGCAGTGCAGGGCGCAGGCGGAAGATGGGGCTGATCCGTGGCGATGCCGCGCCACGCCACGCCTTTTCGAACACGGGGGAATTTCTGGTGACGGCACGCCATGACCAGAGCCGCGGCGTGGCGGCGCGGCGCACCTGGAAGGGCGGATGGGCGCACCTGGTAGGGCGGATGGGCGCACCTGGAAGGGCGGATGGGCGCACCTCGAACGGCACGATGGGGGTGTAGGCCTTCAGCCGGAGCAGATGCGCGCGCACAAATTCCGTGCCGTCCGCCATCGTGGCCTGCGCAGGCGCGGGCGCATCGGCGCGCGGAGTGTCGGAAGGGCCTGATTGCTGGGCGCGAGGCGAGATGCGGCGGGGAGCGGCGGAAACGCGGGTGAGCAGGGGATGGGTGAGCGGGGAAAAGGCGGAAGGGCGCGGGGAATGGGGGAGGAGAGCGCGGGGCTGCATGGCGGAGGCCGTTGCGGGACAGTTTTGAAAGGGACTGGCGAGACGATCTGCGGGAGGTTCTAGGTACTGTGCTCCGATATCAGCGCCCCGCCTTCGGGAATCACAAAATTGTTCTTGTAGGTAACATAACATGGTGAAACAGGGTACATTTAGCAAATTTATGGACAGCTGAAAAGAATCTACCGTATCATACATCTGATCATCTGATCACTTCAGTTGATATAGCATAATGCTAACTCGAATTGCACAGCATGGTAGAAAATGATCAGCTTACTGTAAGGTGCTCACTTGGCTACTGACTGGGATCATGGAGCACAAATCAGAATAGAACAGCTTGGGCCCCATGTTGAGGTTGAGGGTTTGTGTAAGATGAAGAGGCCATCCCATGCAGGCGGCCAGCGGCAGCAGTACGGCAGTCAGTGGCAGCACAGGGCAAGTGAGGTGGCACTGGTGCAGGAACACTACCAGGACTGGCATATCAGGTCATGCTTAACCACATACCGTAACCGCACCACGTGCAGCTTACATGAAGAGAAACCAAGGCTGCAGTAAGAAAAACTGCAAGCTTGACTACTTGAGGTCAGTAACACAGCAGATGCGCTACACTCTCATAGATTGTGATGAAATCTGCATACACGGCCGAACGGTGATGTTGGCAACGCTTTTATTCGAGCGGAGTACATTAGGATGAATGTGGATCACAATGACATGCAAGCTGGCCATGCTGCCATGACTGCTGCCCCCTTGGCTTGCTGCCTCTGTTAGGCGGTGGAGCAGCAGTGTGTGGAGGATGAGTGTGTTGTGGAGGCATGAGGGGGCCAGCACCCATGAAGCAAGCAACGTCAGCCAGCCCACTGTTTGTGCTCCTGCGTGGACCTCACCATCTGCCTCTCACAGCTGCTCTGCTTTCCCACCCCCTCGCACAATGCGTCTTGTCGTCACCCCTCACTCCCACCCCTTCGCCCTCTCGTCATCCCCGCCTTCCCCCTTCCTTCGCAGCCTCCTCGCCCTTTCCCCCGTCCGCTCCCAGCACTGCGCGCCAGTCACTCGCCCTTGCCGCGCTGCTCCCAAGCCAGCGTCGCCAGCACCGTCGCATGCAGCTGCGCGTCGCCCGTCGCCACCACGTCGCCCACCCAGTCCTCCGCGCGCAGCGACGCCAGCCGCAGCTCGCGCCCGCGCCAGTCGGTCATGCGCCCGCCCGCGCCCGCCACAATGGGGACGAGAGCGAGGTAGTCCCAGGGCTTGACGCCGAACTCCAGCGCCACGTCCACGAACCCGCTCGACAGCAGCCCGAACGCGTAGCAGTCGCACCCGTAGTTCGCCTTGCGCGCACCGCTCTTCACCGCGCGGAACGCCTCGCCGCTGGCGCCGGGGAAGAGGTCCGGCGACGTGGTGTACACGTACGCGTCGCGCAGATCGGCACAGCGGCGCGTGGCGACCGGGACGCCGTTGAAGGTGGTGGGGCGGCCAGCAACGCCGACCCATCGCTCGCGCAGCACGGGCTGCTCGAGCACGCCCAGCACGGGGCGGCCGCGGTGCAGCAGCGCGACGAGCGTGCCGAAGAGCGGCTTGCCCGTGATGAAGCTCGCCGTGCCGTCGATCGGATCGATCACCCACACCCACTCGCACTCGCTCTCCCACCCGCCCTCGCCCTCTCCCCCCGCTGCGCCCTCCCCAGCGTCTCCCGCCCGCACGGGCCCCTGCAGCCCCTGCTCCTCACCCAGGATGCCGTGCGCGGGGTACTCCGCGCGGATCAGCGCCGTTATCGCCGCCTCCGCCGCGCGATCCGCCGCCGTCACAGGGCTCTCGTCCGCCTTCAGCTCGATGCCGATTGGCTGGCGGAAGAACGGCGGAACGACCTCGCGCGCGGCGTCCGCCAGGCGGTGCGCGAACTGCACGAGGTGCTCGGGAACCGGGGCGGGTGGCGCAGGCATGGCGGAAGCGGAAGGGACGGCCGGGGATTGGCGCGCGGTGCGAGTGCTGAAGATAGGGCGGGCGTGTAATCTGAGCGGCAAATGGCAGAATGCGGGGCGCGAGGAGAGCGTGGGGGCGAGTACAGGCGTTAAATGGAGAGTCGCGGGCGGGGTGACGCTTTGGTGCGTGGGTGGCGCGGGACGAATGAGGGGGTGAGGGCGAAGGGAAGCCATGGAGGTGCCTGGGATGGGGTGGTGGCGAAATGCGAATATTCCCTTGGGTTGGCTGGCGCAGGGCCTCGGTGTTCCCTTCGATGCTCCACGCTTCAACTCCTGCCTCTCGTGCTGTGTGTCTTCCATTTCGGATAAAGAATCTATCTGATGTTTCGATGTAGGAAAGTGCCTGAATTGATTTATATAATGTCAAAACAACTTTACAACGTGGATTTTTTACCATGCAGATCGGGCGCAAATTCCCCACATCGGCAAAATCCCCCCCACCTGCCAAATTCCCCCGCCAGCCAAATTCCAATTTCCAAACCCCCCAATGCGCCAACTCGCAAACTCACCACCGCTATCTCGCTGTCGCGCCGCCCTAAGACCGCCCCGCACACTTTTCCTCCCGCGCCGCCATGGCGATGCCTCTGCGCGTTTCGCGGCCCCCCCTTCCCTGCCACCGCTCGTCGCCCGAGCACTCCTCACCTCTCCAACCGCGCTCTCCGCGGCCTCCTCTGCGCCTAACCGCTGCGCTCACCACAGCGCCTGCTGCCCTCCGCACAGCGCTCCCCCCAGCCACATCACCGGCCGCCCCGCCTCGCGCCGTCCGCCGACCCACGGCGTGCCGCTCTGCGGCGGAAGCGGCTGGGCTGGCGTCGTTTCCGTGGGAGAACGCGGTGCCGGGGGGAGGGGCGCGGGGCGGAGAGGAGGAGTGGGGGCGGGGGAACGCGGAGGCAGTGACGGGGGATGTGGAGGCTGACGTGGTCATTGTGGGTGCTGGCGTGGTGGGGCTCTGCCTCGCTGACGCACTGCTGATGTCATCACCCGACACCAGAGTTGCGGTGATTGATAGTGCTTGGCCCTGTGCCGGGGCCACAGGCGCAGGTGAGCGGCGCGGGTGAGACGCGCAGGTGAGAGGCGCAGGCGAGGGGGCAACAGGGGCAGATGGTTCCACAGCACAGCTGGTAGTGATGAGATGGGATGAGGGAGCGAAGCGAGACGAGGAGAGGATGAGAGAAAGGGGAAGACGTGAGAGTGGCGGAAAGCAAGGGGCAGTGCGAGTGAGGGGTGAGGAAGTGGGAATGCAGTATCCCGCTGAAAGGGAGCATGCTGGATGCCGCCCTTGCATGGCGCACGGTACATCAAGTTGAGACTTTGACGCTGCATTGTTCTTCTGGCATGCTGGCAGGGCAGGGCTACATCTGGATGGCGCATCGCTCCCCGGGCGGCGTGACATGGCAGCTAGCGGAGCACAGCAAGCGGCGGTGGGAGGAGATGGCGGGCGGGCTGGAGGCGGACCACCGGCGCCTCACAGGCTGCACGCAGGGGCTGGGGCGCATCAATACAGGCATGGGCCGTGGACGTGCGGTGGCTGAGTGCTTGCTCACTGCACTGCACCCTCCCACGCTTGCTCCTCCTCTCACCGTTTCGCCTTTTCATGGCTGGCTGGCGAGTTAGAGAACAATCCATGGGTTGGTTGGGCATGCAGGACCGTTGTGAGGTAGGTGAGCTGACATGCCAAGCTTCTCCACTCCACCTCCCCGCCTCTCGCTGCCTCTCCCTGCCTTGCCGCACCGCCAGGCAGCATGTTGGTGCCATCACAGCCGTCCCACACAGCCCCCCTGGAGCAGCACCACCGGGCACTGCAGCAGGCGGGGCTGTCCGCGCACCTGCTGTCCCCCGCCGCCCTGAGGGACGTGGAGCCGGCGCTGCAGGTGCCGGCTGGGTGCTCGTCCACGCTGCTGCTGCCCTCCGACTGGCAGCTCGATGCCCGCCTGGCCATGCACGCCCTGGTCGCTGTACGTGCTGCAGTGTATAGCATTGAATGACATTATTCCATGCCATGGCATGGCACGCACTCGCCTGCAGGCACTCAGAATACCATCCACCGCAGCACGGTAATGCTCTTCTTCCCCCCTCAGCACTCCCATGCTCTTCGTTCTATGCTCCTGTTTTCCATCCATCCGCTCCCTTTCCTCCTGTGCTGTGCTCTGCTTGTCTGCCACGCCCAGCGCTGTCGCCAGCATGCCGCATCGGGGCGCTACGTGGAGCTGTTTGAGGAGAGCGTCGCCTCCTTCCTCCGGTCAGCACCCACTGCCCCCTGCTGCCCCCTGCTGCTCAACCCCCAACCCCTCTGCTGCTGAAGCTCCACTCCTAGGCATGCTTGGCGCGCGCAGCGAGCTTTGCAAGCATGTGTTTGCATGTGGTGTATGTGCGTGTGTGGCTTGGTGTGTGCGCCTGTGTGGTGAGTGTGTGTGCATGCATGTGTCCAAATGCATGTGTACGTATGCCAATGCATGTGCTTGGGTGCAATCACCCCCCGTGGGAGTGTGCAGGGCGGCAGGAGGCGGCAGGGTGGTGGGAGTGGCGACAGGGCAGCGGAGGGTGGTGGCAGCACAGGCGGTGGTGGTGGCGACGGGCACGTGGTCGTCGGGCTTCATTGCCCACGCCCTGCTCCACACCGCCCCTGCCTCCGCCACCACCGAGCAAGCCTCTCAGCCTGAGGATAGTCCCAAGGAGGGCACTTCGGGTAGTTTGGGTAGCAGCGCAGCAAGCAGCACGGGTGGCTGCAGGGAGCAGGATCCGGTGGTGCCTCATGTGCGCCCTCGCAAGGTGATGGGTGCTCTGGTCACACACGGAATGCTGCATGGGAGGCACGAGGCTGCACTGCCAGATCTACCACTCTCAGCCCATATGCACACCGTGTAAATACCTGAACACCCGCACGTGCTGCACTTCTTAAACCTCCTCCCTCCCACTCTCGTCCCTTTTGCTGCCTCCACATCCCGCCACACCTACAGGGCTTCCTGTTGCAGCTCAAGGACGTGCCCCCCGTGCTCTCTCTGCGCCATGCCCTCATGGAGTTTGACTACACTGCCAACTATGCCGCCCCCTCAGCTCCCACTGCCTCGCCTGCCACCCCACGGCCCTCTCCCAGCCCCACCACCACAGCCACCATGCAGCCGCCCTCCTCGTCGCCGTCCCCGCCCGCTGCCATCTCCATGACTGCCGCGTGCGACCACCTCGGCCACCTGCTCATCGGTGCGCCATTCTCTCCTCCCACTCCTTCAACCCCTGCCCTCTTGTTGCCCCGCTCACACACATCACTTGCCCACCCCCCTCCCACCTTGCACATGCCAGCAACCTCTCTTCTGCATTTCGCCTCATACTTGTTCCATGGCTGCTGCCCTCCATGCACACTACCCCCACCAGGCAGCAGCAGGGAGCTGGCGGGCTTCAGTGTGGAGCCCCATGCGCCCACCATCGCTGCCATTCTGCGCCGCACGGCCGTCTTCCTGCCCTCCCTTGCACATCTGCTGCAGCAAGCGGAGGACGAGGCAATAGCTGCTCGGGTGAATGTTGTTCGCACGGGGCTGCGCCCATATGGTGAGTCCTGCTCACTGCTTGCAAGCTCGTTTCACAGTCCTTCATTGTCCTGTGCATCCTTGATTGCACGCAGCCACCTCACTATCCCATCCACCTGTCTGTCTGCAGCACCGGATGGGAGGCCTCTGATTGGCCCCGTGGACTCGCTTCCAGGTGTTCTCTTTGCATTGGGCCATGAGGGCTCGGGCCTGTTGATGGTGAGCGCTGCTTGACTTGACACACCACACCACCATGTCACCGTGATTCTGCCAGGGAGGTGCACTTTGCTTGCTTGCTCGTATCCCAGGTGTTTTGACCCCCCGCCTCACCTCCCTACCTGCTCAACATGTCGAATAACCCTGTGCATGGTGCAGGCCCCAGGCACAGCTGACATGATAATGGCATATCTGGGGCGAGGCACCATGCCTGTGGACGGCCATCCCTTCCTCCCTCAGGGGCGTCTCCTCACACTGCAGCAGTTGCAGCACATGCATCCTTGATGCTGCTCTCTGGCCATTGAGATGTCATTCATGTGCATTTAGGCCGGCTCTTTGGAATTTCATCTGTTAAGTATAGCAGCCGCAGTATGTTTGTCGCTGTTTAAATCAAATGAAGCCGCTTGAACTTCTACCTGGACGAGTGTCAACGCTGTCTACTGAAGTCTGCAGATTACGGTATGAACAAGTTAGCTGCCTATTTCCGCCGAAGCTACTACGCTCTACTTATCCTCAATATACTCAAATGTCCTCAGTTCCGGGGAGAGGAACTGCCAGTTACTGCCATGCCGGGTTACTGCCATGCCGGAGGGAACCATGGAAGCCCATGGAGTTGCGGTCAGCGGAATGCAGAGGCCGGAGCAGCGCAGCTTCTTGTGCGTCGCTCGGCCGCGTGGGGGGCTCGCTCAGCAGCGCGCGACGGGGCTGAGCTGCCTCGCCGCCTCTGCGTGCCGAGAGGGGTAGCCACAGACGAGGACGACGCTCTCGACTCTTGCTTCATTTTATGTTGGCCTTTCTCAGAGCTCGTCTTGCGAGCTGGCTGAACCTGCAAGTGACGAAAGGGGAAATCGTTTAATTAGTTATTCACGTGTTAAAATGGCGTCTTTCCTTCGCAAAGAGCGGTTTCCAAGGCTTACCTGATCGTCGTCGTCACTGTGGAGCGACGAGATGTCGTTCAGGGGTGATCGCCGAACGACAGAGACTGGCGAATCAGCGTCGCTCGCGTGGCTCGTTTCGCGAGCGTGGGTGTCGCCGTGCGAGAGGCTGAGGCGCTGCGCGAGGGCGATGATGTCGTCGATGGCTCGCGGCACCTCGGCGTCGAGGGTTCCGCTGCAAAAGGCGTCCACCAGTCGTTCCTCGAAACTGCCGAGCTCCAAGTTCTCCTTGTTCTCGTGGATGCACGATATGCTGCGACCAGGGAAACAATACCGTCTCAGACGATTTTTCCAGGATGAGGAGAGCTTGATTAGGATATGATTAATGGGCTTACCTGTCAATTATGGGCGAGAGAATATCGCAATCCTCGACGGGACTTATAGCCTGCGAAACTAAGTAGGAGCTTTTCCTGTCAACGAGACAGTGTGGAGTGGAGGCTTGAACTGCCAAGATAGCCATGTTGTCGATGTCAGCGAGTCCCAAAGGCACGAATTGCTAGCGTTGAGCAAGAGCTAACAGGAGGAAGCAAGATCTCTATCTGCCGCGAGGGAACAAGCGAGGTAATCTCGAGAAACTCAAGCACAGAGAAACAACAAGTGGGAGGGATGACGGCCTGCTGCGGAGGCAGTTATGTTTGCCATGGATGGTGTTGGGGGAGCATAGAGCAGCGAGCAGTGAGTGGTGAAGGTGATGGCAAGCCGACATCTCAGCACCGCTGGCCGTCAACTTCGACTTGTCCCCCTCAACGGCCGATGGAGGGCCTGCCGTTTCAACTTTCGGGCGAAGCGCGACGCCCTGGGACCCACGCGAAGCGGGATGGCGCCAGTGCAGTCGAGGCGGCTGGCGAATTTGGATGGCGAGTTCTGACAGACCAACACGCCAGGCCAATGGGGGCATTTCTCAGTCAGGCAAGATTGCGACAGCATGAATTCAATTAAATACCTTAATAAAATACACTTTTGATGACAGCTGGTGCACATAACAACAAACCAGACACCGAATCTACAAGGGCTTAAGACTTCTTCGCAGATGGCTAGTACTCCGCCTGCATAACTTCAGCCTCCAGCAATAGCACTTCCATCTGCAACCATAACAGAAAGAGTGGAATTTAAGCACTTCAACTGCAGGCATAACAACGGCACCAAGAAATGGCAAGCCATTTACAACCAACAATCTTACCCGAGTGAGAATCTTCTTCTGCTCGGTGACGGCTTGCTTGTTCTCCTGCAGTGTGGCCTGCAGGTCCAACATCTGGCTGTTGAGCCCCGCCAGAGCAGCGTTGAGCCCCTCTGCCCCCGCCCGCCGCGCCTCCCTCTTCCGCCGCAGCTCCTCCAGCTGCTCCCTCACCTGCGCCTCTGTCATGCCGCCCTGCACCCTCTGGCCCCCACCCCACAGTGACACCCCTGTGAGGGCGCGAATGGCGCTGGCAAAGGGAGACAGGCCCACTGACAACTGCTCCTGCAGCCCTTGCAGCACACCACCATCGCTGCTGCTGCTGCTGCTGCTGTTACTGTTGCTGCCCCCTTGGTGGCCCAGATTCTCCCCCACCGTGGCATCCACTGTGAGCACGGTTGTGCTCTCCAAGCCCGCTCTCTCTCCTGCACCCAGTCTCACCACCAGTGTTCCCTCCGCTGTTTCTCTCCACTCCACTCCTATCTGTCTTGCCTTCTCGTCTGAGACTGATGGCTCAGCCACAGCCGGCACATCAACAGCAGACAACAGATGCTTCTGCCTCTCTTCCTCCCCACTCGCCTCCTCCTCCCCACTACCACCAACAACCAAGGCTGCATTCTCTGTGGGTAACAGAGCAGGTGCTGAAGCAGAGGGTGCAGGTGGGGAAGCAGCGGGCAGAGAGGTGGAGGGGGGTGCAGGGGGGGAGGTGGGGGTTGCAGGTGTGGAGGCGGAGGGCAGCTTGCTTCTGATTGCAGCCAGCTGAGCCGCTGCCTCTGCCAATGCCTCCCTGGCTGGCTCACGCCCTCCCAGCCACCCCCACAGTGGCAGCACAACTTGTCCAGGGGCAGTGTCAGTGGAGGCTGGGATGGCAAGGGGCTGTGGGGCGGTAGGAGACAGCGAGGACCCTGCCACGCCCTCTGCCGCCACTGCAGCTGCAGCTGCTGAGGGTGCCTGGCCCGCGGTGGCTCCTTTCCCCACGGCCATGACGAGCGCCCCAGTGCTGTCGGCTTGCAGCAGCACAGTGCTCTCCACACCTCCCACGCACGCACTCACTCGCACACTCCCATCTTCCCCCACCCGCACCTCCGCCTGCTGCACACCCACCGCCCCCTCGCCACCGCCCACACCGCCATCTGCCAGCAGCGCTGCCACCAGTGGGTGCGCGTCGGGGTCGAGAGTGGACGAGGAGGAAGGCAGGGCGCGTGCAGACGTGAGGCCCACTTGCATCGAAGAGGTGTCTGATGGGGCAGAGGCAGCTGGCTCTACTCCAGCCTCACTGCTGCTGCTGCTGCTGTTGTAAAGCATCTGCCTCCCTACTCCGGAAGATCTCCTCTCATTCCCCTCCTCGCTTCCACTCTCTCCCCCACTCTCGCTCTCCTCCTCGTCACCCTGACTGCACAGCGCCAGCAGCAGGCTGACGTCGGCAATGGCCTGGGGATCCAGAGTGATGTCAGTGATGATGCCGTTGTCCGTCACAGGGTCTGCCACGTCAGCAGTGGCACTGGGCTTGAGTCTCACCCCGCCCATCCTGCCATTCACCCCCACGCCTCCCACGCCCGCCCTGCCTGCCCCTCTGGCGCGCTCCATGCCTCTCTCCACGCCCTTGGCTGCCAGCCCCAGCAGCCCCCACCTCACTCGCACTCCCGAGATCCCACCACCCCCACTCTCCCCCCCATTCCCTCGCTTCCCTGCTCTCCTCAGACTGCCCTCCTCTCCTCGACCACCCCTGGGCTTGACACTTCCCCGCCCCCCATCGCCCTGTGCTGCTGCTCCCTTGCTCCCCCCGCCTGCATCACTTCCCCCGCCTGCCCTTCCCCTCACCCACTGCAGCAGTGCCTGCGCCAGTGCGCCTCCCCCCCCACCCGTTTCGCCTTCCCCCATCCCCTTCACCTGCCGTGCTTCGCCTGCACTCTTCTGCTCGCCTGCCTGCCCCCCCACCTGCCCCCGCTGCTGCTGCGCCGCACCCCTTTCTGCCACTGCTGCAGCAGCTGCCGGCACTGCTGCATCTGCTGCCGCAGCTGCTGTTCTCTTATTCGAAGCAGCAACTGATGCTGCTGCTGCTGCTCTCTTACTAGACGCTGCCGCTGCTGCTAGCGCTGCTGGCACTGCTGCTGGCACTGATGCTGGGGCTGATGCTGGGGTTACAGCAGCAGGCGGTGGTGCAGGGCGGGCGCTGGCAGCGGTGGCGGCGGGGGAGGGTTGGAGGGGCACAAAGAGGCGGGCGAGGGAGGCAGCAGCGGACCCCAGCACATAGGCCGCCGCCACTTTGGAGCGCTGCAGGTCGAACGGTAGCTCCACTGCACTGCCACCACTGCCTCCACTGCCACTGCTGCCGCCGCTGCTACCCATTGCTGCGGCCACCAGCTCTCTCTTGCGCGCCCCCTTGCCCTCCTCCTTCCTCCTCGCCTTCCCACCTGCCTCCTTCGCCTCCCCCCTCCCACTGCCCTTGCTCCCACCCCCCTCGCCTCCATCCCCCTTCCCTGACCCCCCTTTGCTCTTACCCGAAGCTACCTTCTCCCTGCTCCCCGCACTCCCATCCTTGCCCGATCCATTCTCCCTGCCTGACCCACCCTCTTTACCAGACCCTTTGTCCTTGCCCGAACCAGAGTCCTTCCCCCCCGCCCTGCCCTCCGCCCCCCCACTGTACGCCTCCGCATGCGCCACCACAGCGCCAGTAAACGCCTCCCTCACTACCCGCCGCCCCTCGCTCACCATGCCCTGCACGCCCCCCTCCCCCCACCGCACTGCCGGCCCCTCCACTGCGCCCTGCTCCCCCTTCCCCCCCTCCGCCCCCACCCCCTCCCCCAGCACCCGCCTCAGCGCCTCCAGCACCACCTCCGCCCCCTGCCCTCCCCCCCCTGCGCCCAGCGCGCCCAATGCCCCCAGTGCGCCCGCCTGCCCCTGCGCCTCTCCCTTGCCTGCTGCCGCCCCTTGCCTTGCCCCCTTCACCCCCTCCTCCCCCTTCCCTGCCTTCCGCGCCCGCCTCTCCCCCTTCCCACTCCCATCCGACCCCACACCCTCCTCGCGCCCCTTCCCCCTGCTCTCACTGCCACTCCCCCCTCCCCCATTGCTAGCCGCCCACATCTGCTGCAGCGCAAACACCACCCCCTCCTCCACCCTCCCCTCCCCTGACCCCTCCGCCTCCTTCCCCGCTTGCTTCTTCCCACCAACCCTCTTCCCCTCGCTCCCTAAATCCTCTCTCTCCCCCCTCCCTCTGCCCCCCCACGCCATCACTAGCCCTTCAACGCCCATCCCCTCCCCTCCCCTTTTCCCAGCACTCCCCCCCTTCTCCCCAGCCTCTTTCCGCGCCTTGCCCTTCTCCCCCTTCTCCTCCCCCGCCCTGCCCTTGCGCCCCTCCACCCGCCCCGCCACCCGCGCCTTCTCCTGGGCAGCGCGCGCCTTGGCCTGCGCCATGGCGCCCCCTCCGCGTCCCAGCGTGGCGTATGCCGTGCCTGACAGCGCTGCCTGTGTGGCCGCCGCCAGGCGTGACGCGCGGAAGGGCTCAGGCGCGCGCATGGAGAAGAACGCGTGGCGCAGCGCCTGGGCTGCGGAGGGTCGCCCGCCCATGGCTGTGAGGAGGGTAAGGGGAAATGGGGGAAGAGAGGAAGGGAGGGGGGATGATGTGGGGGGTGAGAGTGGGGGGAGAGAGAGAAAAGAGGGATGGTCGCACGCAAACGAGGATGAACGGAAATGCAAGGTGGAAGTTGCATGTGGAGTGATGGACAATAGCCCAGGGGACAGTGAGAAGGAAGGTGTGCACGCGCATGAGTGCGTGCATGCATGGGCTAGGCCCCCCAGCACCCAGCACCCACCGCTGGGCCACACGGCTTCCTCGTGGTTGGGTCGCTTCCTCAGCAGCTGCTGCGCCAACTGCCATGCCGCTCCGCCTGTCATGCCAGGGGGTAGGGGCGAGGGGGAAGAGATGGTGGAGAAGAGGAGGCAGGAGGGGCAAGACACGGGAGGGCAAGGGGAGGGAAGGCAAGCGGTGAGAGGAGAGGGGAAGCGGGGCATGCAGTGAGAGGAGAGGGGAAGCGGGGCATGCAGTGCACGGGCGGGCAGGAGCATGCGAGGCGTCTGTGTAATGGTATCAGCTCCCGTCTATCCTCCCAGTCATGGGGTGAGCGGCATTCATGGTGGCATGCAGCGGCAGCAAGGGGGCACGGGAGGCATGGGAGGCATGGGGGGCGCACCATTGGCATCGAGCACGGCCATGTCATCATCGCTGGGGTTGAACGTGGCCCTCCACTTGGCCAGGTCATGGTCGCACCGCCTCAACTCCTCGTTGAACTCCTTCTGTGCTCCCAGGGAGAGAGGAGGCGAGCAGGGGCAGAGGCAGCAGAACGGCAGAGCAACGTGAGAGGGCGAGGTGATGGGGTTCGGGTAATAAGAGATGACGAGTGCACGGCGGGGCGGGCAGAGAGGCACGCAAAAGAGGTAGCAGGAGCAGGCAGTGGGCCGTGCAGCATGAGCGTTTGGCGCCCAGGCATGCGAGGGGGACGCATGCGAGGCACAAGGGACGCACCAGAGCAGACGCATTGCGCAGTCGCTTCATGCACAGCTGCATCAGCACTATGCCCTGCGCGGGACAGCACGGGGGAAAGGGGGCATAAGGGGGAAGGGACGGGAGAGAAGCGCGAGGAGATCAATAGGCCGAGATGGGTGGGGAAGGGGAGGACGGGTGGGGAAGGGGAGGACGGGTGGGGAAGGCGGCAATGGGGAGAGAGTTATGGAGCGTTGAGGGAGTGAGGGAGCAATGCACGGCGAGTGAGAGGGTGAGTGAGAGGGGGCGCTCACCGCGGAGTAGACGTCAAAGCGGTCGGGTGTGTTGAGCGCCCACAGGAAGGGCGACAGCAGCGACGCCAGCGGGTCGGGCGGCAGGGGCGGCGTAGTGCCGGGCGGCATGACGAAGCGCTCAGGTGCACAGTACTTGGGATCCATCACCGTCTCGTTGGGTACCTGTTGTGGGGGGGGGGAGGGGGGAGGGGTGAGGAGGGGAATGGGGGGAAGGGGGAAGAGGGGGGGTGAGGGGGGTGGTAGCACATCATGAGGCAAGAGAGACGCCACAAGGGGATGGGGATTGAGTGCATCACATGGTGGAGGGCAGTGGGCACGCATGCCATGGCATGGCTTGGGGCGCCGTGCAAGTAAAGGCATGGCAAGGCAGGGGCGGGGGCTGGGTGGGGGTGGACGCACGTAGTTGTGGCCGGAGCGCAGGTCAACACAGGCGCCCAGGTCGATGAGGCACAGACTGCCCGCGAGCTCGTCCAGTATCAGATTCGACGGCTTCACGTCCCTGTGCACCACTCCTGGTAAGAAGGGAGAGTGGCGGGGGGCGGGGAGGGGAGAGAGGGACCATGAGATGTGGCACGGTGGTGGCTCTGACAGCAATGGTGCCCTCAGGAACGGTGGTGGTGAGAGCGAATGCTGTGGGGCAGGTGAGACGGTGAATGGCAGTGTGGCAGACGGTGGTGTGAGTGACTGTGACTGACCACAGGAGTGCAGGTGCTTGAGGTCGGAGAGAATCTGCCTCATCACCTCCTGCGCCACCTCCCACTCCATCCACACCTGCTGCTCCCTCTCCTCCGAGCTGCTGCCCTTGCTGCCCCGCAACAACTGCTCTCACACAGGTGTACGCACGTAGGCAGACAGGGAAGCAGGGAGGCGAGCGTGAAGGGAGCAGCACATGTGCAAGAAGGACACAGGGTGGACCTACCCAGGCAAGCACCACACATTGCCATTGCCACCCTCCACCCCCGCCAAATGCATCCCTCCACCCCACCCCTGCCTTGCTGCCCTCATGCACCTCTCCATCCCCCCCTTGCCCATACTCCCCCACGCGTCACATCGCCCCCACGCAATCCCAGCGGGCGACTCACGGCGTCGTCCACCCCGAGCACGTGTTTGGCGAGGTTGAGCGGGTAGGAGCGGTGGCGCAGGAACTGGTCCAGCGTGCGATCGCCCTGGTACTCCCACACCAGCCACACGCCCTGTTGGGGCACCCGGAGGGAGAGCAGCGATGGTAACAGGGCGGGGAAGGGGTAGGGTGAATGGCAGGGGGGGGTGAGTATACTAGTACAGCGAACTACCAGTACACACTGCAGTTGCAAATGCGCGGGGCGAGGTAGAGGAAGGAGTGGGAGTTGGGGTGGGAGGGATGGTGAGGGGGCGTGTGTGGGGAGGGCAGGGTGCGAGGCATGGGCAGTTGGGGCATTGAGGTGAAAACTGCTCCCAACCCAACACACTCACGTGCCGCCTCCCACGTGCAGCCACCCCGCACATCACCACTCCCGCATGCACACGTCTCAATACCTCCCTGGGCCCGCCCCGAGCCCCAACCCAGCCCCACGCCAGCCCCAGCCCGCCCCCAGCCCGCCTCCACCCCAGCCCCAGCGCTGCGCTCACCTCCTCGAGCTTGCCGCTGGCCTGCTCCGGCGCCACCTGCATGGTGCCTATGAACCGCGCACACACGCCTGGCGCCGTGCGCTGTAGGGGGGAGGGGAAGGAACGGGAGGGAGGGATCGAAAAGTGGGTCACGGGTAGGATGAGCGTGGGGGGGGGGGACGAAACACCAAGCACCGGGAGCTACTTTTGGGAAATCTCAAAAGCGACACACAAAAGGGGATGCTTGTGCGCACCTGCAGGCGGTGGTTCATGTACCTGCAGGCGGTGGTTCATGTACCTGCAGGCGGTGGTTCATGTACCTGCAGGCGGTGGTTCATGTACCTGCAGGCGGTGGTTCATGTACCTGCAGGCGGTGGTTCATGTACCTGCAGGCGGTGGTTCATGTACCTGCAGGCGGTGGTTCATGTACCTGCAGGCGGTGGTTCATGTACCTGCAGGCGGTGGTTCATGTACCTGCAGGCGGTGGTTCATGTACCTGCAGGCGGTGGTTCATGTACCTGCAGGCGGTGGTTCATGTACCTGCAGGCGGTGGTTCATGTACCTGCAGGCGGTGGTTCATGTACCTGCAGGCGGTGGTTCATGTACCTGCAGGCGGTGGTTCATGTACCTGCAGGCGGTGGTTCATGTACCTGCAGGCGGTGGTTCATGTACCTGCAGGCGGTGGTTCATGTACCTGCAGGCGGTGGTTCATGTACCTGCAGGCGGTGGTTCATGTACCTGCAGGCGGTGGTTCATGTACCTGCAGGCGGTGGTTCATGTACCTGCAGGCGGTGGTTCATGTACCTGCAGGCGGTGGTTCATGTACCTGCAGGCGGTGGTTCATGTACCTGCAGGCGGTGGTTCATGTAGAGTTCGACGTCCCTCATCTCATCGGAATGTTTCACCCGCGTCTTCACTCGCTTCAGCACCACCCGCCGCTCCCACCGCCCCTCCTTGCCCGCCTTGCCTGCGCGCACATGCACACACACGGCGCAGCGGAGCACAGGAGAGCGGAACGGGGACGGCGGTGAGGGGGTGGACATGGGCATGGGACGGCGGTGAGGGGGTGGACATGGGCATGGGACGGCGGTGAGGGGGTGGACATGGGCATGGCTTGACGTGCGAGAGGGGAGACAGAGACTCACATGCCCACAAGGAGAGAGGGATATAGAGTGAGGGAGATGAAGAAAGACAAAAGCGGCGAGCGTACCGTTGGAGATGAAACCCTCGTACACCACGTACCGTTGGAGATGAAACCCTCGTACACCACGCCGAAGCTGCCCTCGCCTATCTGCCGCCCCACCTTCACCCGCGCCGGGTCCAGCTCCCTGCCGCGAGGAGCACGGGGCAGGGCGCAGGGACAGGGGGATAGAAGGGGGAGCGGGATAGAGGGGCCGAAGCGGAGAAAGGGTGAAGGTTACGGGCAGCAGCAGGGCCGGCGCACACAGACCAAGCAGGCACTCTGGCGGAACACGGATAGCAACGCGATCTGATGGCAGCAGAACGGAGTGCGAGCAGGAGCGCGGACGGGAGTGCGGACGAGAGTGCGGACGGGAGTGCGGGCGCGAGGTGGGCGCATTACTTGTCGGTGCGCGCGTGCAGGGGCGCGACGAGGAAGTCGAGCAGCCCCATGAGCGGCGCGGGGGGCGCGGCGGCGTACAGCACGAGCAGCACCAGCGCCACCGTCCACTGCCGCAGCGACGCCTACTCGGGTGACGCGCGGGGAGAGGCGGAGGGAAGGGGGAGCGGGAAGGAACGGAGATAGGATGGGTCGCGACGGAAAGGAACAAGAAGGCCAGGGGTTGGCCGGGAGGGGAAGGAGGGGACAGTGGGGAGGAAACAGGGGGAGGAGACGGCAGGGGGAGGAATGCGAGGAATGGATGCGCGGAGCCAACGGGGAAAAGAAGGAACGGCAGAAGCGGTGGAGCCGGAGAAGGCAGGCACGAGTCGGGTGCGCAGCGGCATGGCGGGTGGGCGGAGCGGCGGGCGCGACTGACCGGGTCGTCGAGCGGAATGGAGAGGCCCGCGTCCGCCGCGAGTTGCGCGATCTCGCGGTGCACCGCCACCACCGCCTGCTCCACCTCGGGGGGTAGCCTGCCATGGCGCCACGGAGATGAAAGACCAAGTCAATCTACCAGAGCATCTGAGCCTGCTCGCCTTCCCTCGTTATCGCTCTTCGGTTGCCTCCATGCGACAAGGCCCGCTCACACTCGCCTTATCCGTACGCCTCGCAACACGCTTAGCGCTCTGCGACGCTTCCGCTTAATCCTGCTATCTTTCCTATGATCCCAGCTCCCTTTTAGCACCCACTATAACTCGTTTCTAAACGATCATCCACGCCGCACGCTTCAGTCGCACAGTCTAGTCGCACACTAGGGCTCGCGAGCAACCTATCAGTCGTATGCGCCGCTCACCCATTAAGCAGCGCCTCGGCCATCTGCCCGTACGCCTCGCCCACCATCCCCAACGCATCCGCGCCTCCGCTCTCCGCGCTCCCAACCGCCGACACCACTGCCAACCGCCGTCGATCGCTGCCTACCGCCGGCCGTGGTATGCATGGCGCGACGAGCTTCCTACCGGAGAAGGAGGAGGAGAATGACGACGCGGCGGAAGCGTGCGGGGATCGGAAGGGAGAGGACTTGCTGCTTGGTGAGAGACGTGACGACGCTAAGCGAATCAAGGACGCGGAGAGGGAGACGACTGGTCCGTACGACGGCGACGCGTGGATTAAAGCGTTGGAAGACGATATGCACGCGTCAATAGCGGCGGCACGTACGCTCGATGCGACTAACGCCATTCTCGCATCCCCCCGGATAGGTGCCTATAGAGCCTCCTACTAATGTTGTAATGTGTTAGCTGCTAAAGAGCACAACGTGATGTAGTGTTGAGGTTGGCTGTTGGGGAAGGAATGGCGACGGCGAGATTCAGTGCGACGTCTTGCGAAACTAATTGGCCTTCCCACACGAGAGTCTAGGACCGTTGGCGAAGGCTAGGGTTGGTCGCTTCCACAAGCGACTTATCGTCAACACCAGTGCGAGGACGTGCCGTGAGCTGTGATTGGCTGGAGATGCAGAAAAGCAACATCTAGGCTCGAAATTCACCCAGATACACCCGTTTGACCACTCTGATGATTCTTTGGGCTTCCCGCTGCTGAGCTGGTGTGGGTAAGCCCTTCGTCCGTGGAGATTCGAGTCGGTCGCTCACATTAGCCACACCCCCGGAAAGAGGGATGGTGTTCTCCCCCTGCCCCACTTTGCGGCCTGGTTCAGCAAAATGTACACGTTACTTGAATTCATGATATGTTCATATAAATTTTCCACATGCAACAAGCGTTCTAAGAGTTGAGAGCAACTGAGATTCACAAATGGGTGTCGCCAGGAGACCGTCTACACGGCAATCGCTCAACCTGGTGATTCAAATGGGGGAAGGCACAAATATTTTGAAGGCAATAGTGTCAGAATAAGTTCTGCTATGCGGGTAATACAGACCAGAACAAGGCAGTGCAAAAGGCTGAAAAGAGTGTTAAGGAAAGAATGCTGCATACCGTGGTGGCATGTCGTTGGAGAGGAAATCTGTAACCATTCCCAGCACGGGCACTGGAATCTGACAAGCACTGCTGCCGCATGCCTCCTCTGCACCACCACCACCCACTGCAGCACTGCCGCCACTGGCACTTCTAGTCATCTCCGCATCCTCTCTTGAAGCTCCCCTGTATTCCCCACTTCCCGCTACTGCCTCACCAGCTGCAGCAGCTTCCATCTCGCGCAGGCGCTGGACAAAGAGTGCTCTGGTGTTGCCAGGACCATCAGTCCCATGGCACACAAACATGGAATAAAAGCACATAAGCGAACAGCACCTTACCAAACAAAAGAAAGCATGCAACTGTGTGCCAGCTGCTGAAAATTCTGCACTACACAAGTAGGACGGAACAGAACGGCAAGTAAGGCACAGAAAAGCAGGGAGGTGCAGGGGGGTCATGGAACGTACGGGGGGAGGTGAGGGAAGGAGAGGGAGAGCAGCACGAGGTGGAAGTGGTGGGGCGGGGAGAGGCGTGCGAGGGCCTCTGCTGGTGAGGCCACGGCACAGGCTGCATCGGCGAACTGGGAGACGGCCACTGCTGCTGCCTTGCGCGTGGTGAAGCAGGCGTCCACCACCTGCCATGAGGGGGTGGGGGAGAAGGGGAGGGAATGGTGGGCAGAAAGCTGGGCTTACTAGAGAATTTTGGCACATGGAAGTGTTGTGTGTGCTGCCCTGTTTGTGGGCCACCGGAACGATTTTCCCTGCAGCCCCAAGTTCAACACTCATTCCTGTCCGCTAACCACCCACACACCAGCACCACTCAGCACCCACCAAAACCACTTTGCCTCGCAGCAGTCGTCTGAGGTGCAGCTGCTGCTGCTGCGCTGCTGCCTGCTGCACCTCCCTTGCACTCACGCCCAGGGCCTGCCGGGGGGGCAGGATGGGGGAGGTGGGGATGGGCAGGAGGCGAGGAGTGGAGGAGTGGACAGGCAAGGAAGGGAAGGCAAGCAGCGTTCAAAAGAAAGGAATGATGTAGCAACACAGACATACCCAAGCGAGTCACACAGCACACACCTGCAGCATGGCTGTAGCGAGCACTGGCGTGCGGAGGGGCTTGAGAGCAATGCAGGAAAATCCATGCGATGCTGCTGCCAACGCCATGTCCTCACTCGTTGCCTGCACGCGGCTCACACACATGCACACACATGCACACACATGCACACACATGCACACACATGCACACACATGCACACACATGCACACGCACGTGCGCGCGCGCGCACACACACACATACCCATGCACATGCACGCACAGCACAATGATGCATGAATGCGAGCACGTGCGAGTAATGTCATGGCACGGCACGGCACGGCACTGCACTGCACTGCTCCCACCACCGCCACCCCTGTGCATCACCCTTCATGCCTCTGGGTCCCTGCGTGTGCCTCTCTGCCCCATGTGAGTGCCTCACCCTTCATGCTTGTCTGCCCCACTGACCTGCGCCACCAGCACGAGCTTGGATGAGATGCCAGGCAACACTAGCGACTCGCCCCTCTCCGCCCACTGCTGCTGCTCTCCCTCTCCCTCTGCCTCTGCCCGCTGCTGCTGCTGCTGCTGCTGCTGCTGCTGCTGCTGCTGCTGCTGCTGCTGCTGCTGTTGTTGTGCCTGGGCGTGCTCCTGTGACAGCTCCCCCTCACCCAGCTCCTTCCTCCCCACTCGCCCTTCCACCACCCCCTCCCCACGCTCGCCCTCTCTGCACTCACCCCATACCCTCTGCTCTACCTGCCCTGCGCCCATGTCCGCCCCCCCACCACACCCCTCTTTCGCCCCACTGTTCCCCTCGTCCTCCCCACCCACGCCATCCTCTGCCAATGGCGTGAACTCTCCTCTGCTCACCGTCTCTGGCCCTGCCCCTGCCGCTGATGCTGCCCCTGCTGTCTGCCCACGGTCCATGTCCCCTGCGGAAAAGACCGTAGCAGGAGCAGCGGGGGCAACAGCAGAGTCACTGCCGGGAGCATGTGCAATGTGGTCGGCAGTGTGAGAGTAGGCATTATGGGTGGCATGGGCGGCGGCATGGGTGGCGTTGATGCGGGCCACATGGGAGCCAAGGAGAAGGCCAGAGCCCGGGGTGCCATCGCAGTCTGCATCCACCAGCACCACGTCCCACCGGCTCCCACCGCTCCCCACCCCTTCCTGCCATGCCGCTGCTGCTGAGTACACGGAGGGGAGGAGGCATGCATGGAAGAGACAGAAGGGTGGTCTGAGAGAAAGAGTGGAAGGAAAGAGCACGGGAGTCGGAAAGAAGGGGCAAGTGCCAGTCCACTGCATGCTGCCCGCCTAGAGAGCGACGGTGGGAAGAGACAGGAGAGAAGTGGGGCAGGTAAGAGGAGCGGGGGGGGCAGCTGACCGGGGTGCAGGGCGGGAGGGGCGCACTGCAGGGCAGCAACGGCGTCCGCCACACTGTCTGAGAGATCCACGTCCATGCCCAGGCGCGATAGCAGTGACGCTGCCACCTGACAGGGGGCGAGGGACGGAGGGAGAGCAGGGATTGGGGGGAAGGAGGCGGAAGAGAGTTGTCGCATGAATCCTGATGCAACACGCATCGAAGGATTCTTGCGACAGCTCTAAAGGTAAAACATGACTAGTGGATGGACAGGAAATATATAAGGGTGACAAATGTGATAATTCGGGGTGTACTGTAGAAGGGAGGAATATATACAGTAAAAACAGCCACGAGGGTCGAGGGTGAGAAACCCGACGCCCAAGTGACGCAAGCTTGGGTCAAAGCTGACTGGAGCGACTCGGGGAGGAGTCACGAGAAATGTTCAAGGGTGGAGGAGGTTCGCGCGCTTCGGAGTAGATCTCGATGTTGAGCAGGGGTAGCAGCCCAGGAGGAGAAGGGACCCTACGGGAAGGTAGTGATAAGCCTAGGTAGGGAACCTGAGTTGCTACTCTTGCTTGTCTTCTTGAACTCGTGGGAAAGTCTATATACGTGCTAGTGAAGAAAGGATTTTCACTGCTTCATGACTAGATCTGCGATAGGGAAGCCAAGCAACGAGCGGTTGAGCCAGACGCTGAGAGAAGAGATCGTGGCTTGAAGAGTAATTCCAAGCACCTTCTTATGGGACGGGCCCAGAAGGACTTATCACCTACAGACGGAGGAAGGAGAGGAAGGACCAGCAAGAGGTGGTGACACGATCGGAAGGGTAACAAGGTCCGGAAGCTGGGTGGCAGAGTCCGAGTGCGAAGGGAGGACCGGAAGTGTGCGAGAGAGTGGGTAAGATGTGGTGAGTGAGCAGGAGAATCAGTGACACCACGCAGCAGGCAGCAGAGGGGGGTATGGGAGCAGCAAGGAGGGCGGCCTTGCCTGCTGTCGGATGGGGTTGCTGTCCACCACAAGGCACCGCACGCCCTGCACCTGCTCCACCAGTGGCGCCACCACCTCCCACTGCTCGCCCCCCACCCCCCCCACCGCCCCCACCTCCCTCACCGCCCTCCTCTCCGCCGCCCCCACCTCCCTCACCCCCACCTCCCCCATCCACGCCCCCCTGCCCCCGCCCTCACCACCAGCTCCCCCCCCATTCCCCTCACGTGCGCCCCCCCTTGCACCCCCTTCCTCTGCACCTTCCCCTGCTGCAGTAGCACCGGAATCCCTTCCCCCCCCGCCCTGCCCCGCGCCCCCCCCCAGCCCCATGGCCTCCCACAGCCCGCCGTCCGCCCCCACGCTCTCCCACAACCCCACCAGCGCCGCTAACCCCCCCTCGCTGCCGCTGCTCCCCCCCGCACGGGGGAAGGAGGGCGCAGAGGCAGGGCGGAAGGCAGGGGAAAGAGGCGCATGGGGAGGGGGAGGTGTTGGGGCGGAGGGGAGAAGGGCGGGGGAGGAGGAGGGCGTGGGGGCGAGGGGGGGGAGGGCCATGGGGATGGTGAGGGCGACGGTGGTGCCGATGGCGGGTGCTGTGGTGAGCGAGAGGGACCCGCCCAGAGAGGTCGCCAGGCTGCCAGGGGGGACAAGGAGGCATGGATGGGGACGAGGAACGTGGGGACAGGTGGGTGGGGGTGAGGCGAAGGCAGGGCAGGGGCGCAAGAGGCAGGGGCGCAAGAGGCAGGGGCGCAAGAGGCAGGGGCGCAAGAGGCAGGGGCGACGGAAGGACAAGAGCCCGCTACCCAACCGGCCAACTTCAAGCCTGGAACTCACAGGTGTGCGTGGGCGAGCAGCAGGGGCGTGGTGGCATGGAGAGGCAGCAACGCCTCTGGTAGAGCAGCACAGGCGCAGGCAGCAGCGTTAGCGCCATCCATGGCGTTGAGTGCGTCCACCACGGGTTGCGGCACGCCCGTGCCCGTGTCCTCCACCACCACCTCCACCCACACCTGCCCCATCCCACTGCTGCTGCCACCACCAGCAGCCGCAGCAGTAGCGGCACCAGCGTTACCAGTAGCAACAGCGTGTGCGACGGCAGCAGCGAATCGGCTCTCCTGGTCGTCCAGCAGCCGCCTCAACGCGCCCCAGCTGCACCGCCCGTCCACCACCCGCCTCCCACTCAAACTGTCCTTTCCCCCGTCCCTCTGCACCTGTTCCTGCTCATTCTGCTGGTGCTGCTGCTGGAAGCGCTGCTGCTCCTGCCTTTGCTGGCGATTCTGCTGTTGATGCGTCTGCCGCTGCTGCTGGCGGTGCTCATAGGCATCGCTGTGCGCCATTCCCCCCTGCTGCAGCCACGCGTCAGCGGAGAGCGATGCAAACACACCCGCCCCGCTGTCAGCCTGTTCCTGCCCCCCCTGCTCACTCCACGGAGCAGCATACGCTGCTAGACGCCGAGCGATGCCGCCCAGCCCGAGGAGGTCCGGGCTGGAGAAGAGGGAGGAAGGGGAGGAGGGCGCGGAGAACACGGAGGGGAAAGGGGCCGCGGAGGCAGAAGCGGATGCTGTGGTGGGGGGCGGGGAGAGGGGGTGGTGGTGGGTGGGCGGTGGGAGGGGCATGCGTGAGGGCGGCAGGAGCAGGCTGTTGCCCTCGCCGTGCCTCGGTTGCACGCCCGCATTCTCAATCGCTGCCACCACTTGGTGCTTCTCATGCGCACCCCTCTTCTGCTGCTGCTGCTGGCGCTGGAGGGCCTCTTGGGGGTGCAGCAGGCGCACGCAGAGCAGCACGTGGCCCTGCTCCGTGCGCTGCACTGCTGCCGCCGCCACGCACAGCAGCAGCTGAGGGGGAGAAAGGGAGGGTGGGAGAGAGGCAGGAAGGCCGTGAAGGAGGGACAGACGGGGCAGGAAAGAAGCAGCGGTGATGGTCTTTGCAGGAATGGGCATGGCAGGAGAGAGGAGCAGGGGGGATGGGCAGGGCAGGATCAGGGGGCAAGGAGCGGGGAGCAGGGGGCAGGGAGCGGGGAGCAGGAGGCAGGGAGCGGGGAGTGGAGAGCAGGGGAGGGGGAGCAGCGGGGACCTGTTTGAGGAGGAGGGGGTCGGAGAGCAGCAGCGGGGGCACGTCGTCCATGACCAGGCACGCCAGCTCCACCCCCTTCTCGCGCGCCTCCCCGCCCACCGCCGCCACCACCTCGTCCGCCACCCCCCGCACGTCCACCGCTGACGTCACCACGGGCAGCGGGCCGGCCTGCGCGCGCCACGTGGTGCTGGCGGCGGCGGCGAGGCGGGTGAGGTGCGCGGCGAAGGCGTGGAGCGAGTGGATGAGGTCGAGGTGCATGGGGTCGCGCACGGTCGCCGCCAGCAGGCGCAGCATGCCCAGCGCGCCTGTGGGGGGAGCGCGGAGGCGCGTGGAGGGTCACGCGCACACGCAAGGCGGGCGAATGAGCTTGAAAGTGTGTAACGAGGGGGGTAAGCACACGAGAAGCGGAACTGACAGGGATGGGGAGCGGGAGGGGGAGCGCAGCGCACCTCTCATGGGCGCGGCTATCCCGTGGACCAGCAGGTCGACAGCAGCTCGCGTAGCCATGTCCCCATCGCGTGAGACCAATGCGCCAACCGCCGTGCCTGCATCCGCACCTCTCGCTCTCGCACTCTCCTCCCCTCCGTCAATCTCTTTTCCTATCCACCCTTTCTTCTCCACCATATTCTCCTCCTCTTCCCCCTTGCTCACCCGCTCCTGTTCAACCGCCTGTTCCCCCTTCGCCCCTCGCAAACGCATCTCCAGAGCGCGCACTCGCGCCGCCTGCCCAGAAAGTGCGCGGAGCAAGAGCAGCGCGAACCCCAGCACGGCCAGCGCCGCCACGGGAGGGCTCCACGGGCGGTGCAGCAGCTGGTGGGTCGCGTGGGTCGCCCAGTTGCACGTGTCACCACGCGAGGCGTCGCACGCTGCGACGGGATGCGACGAGGGCAACGCAGGCCCCAATCGCATGACGTTGAATGCGAGGAGGAGTGCGACGCCATAGCCGCAGAAAACGACGATGCTCGTCAACGGATGGAGGTCGTGACTGCGATGGCTGTGCGAAGAGCGCTGCGAAGAGCGGTGCGACGATGAATCTGCGCTCGTGTGGTCGCTGGACCTGACTGCGCGAGCCACGAGGGGGCGTCGCTCTGACGCCTCCATCTACCATGCGTGGACGAGCTGGCGAGTCCCTCAACCAGGAAGCGCCCCGTCGTGCATCTAATGCCTGCCAGATAGACTGCGACAGCTATTATGGGCTATATGAAAGCGAGATATTTGTGCTAACAAGCTCGCGCTCGATGATAGATTGTCTAAGAGAGATGGCGTGAAAGAGTATTATTAGCACTGGCAAAAAAAACTGTCTAACAGTTAGAATGGACATCGATGCATTGCAAGAGCAATCCACTCACCAAGAAAGAGCAGCCATTACTGTGCTGCAAGGAACTATTAGGAGATTCTGAGGTGACTGGCAGCTGGGATGAGCTGGGCGCAGCAGTTCCCGATGTTGCTTGTTAGTTGAAAATTGAGCAAGGCTCGAGGTCAGACCACGAGCGGGAAAGCTGCTGATTGGCGGTTGCTGGTTCTGGCTTTGTTGGGTTCGCCTGTTACCAAAGGCCTGACGAAGTTCGCACGTTTAATAATTGTTCGCAACAAAAGGAGCTGGCTCTCGGGAATATGTAAGGGCGTGGAACATTTCAACGAACACGTCAAATGGTCGAATTTGTGGTTGCTTCTGGCGATTGCGAGGCATTTAGGGAAACCCCACCGTTTGACATGCCCAGTATTCACCCTCACTCGACCGAAAGTCAATGGTATTTCCCGTAGGATTGCTGTCGCGTACACCTACACTATCCAGAGAAGTGGGACAACGTCAACTTCGAGTCTACACCCGAAAGTATTTTCCAGCCCCACTCTACTTGCAAAACACACAACTCTCCGCTCCCCCCTTTCGAATGCTTAAACTGGGAACAGAAGTTTTTCTTAGTGGGGGTGGTATTTAGTGGGTGCCCCACGTGCTGGCGAACAAAATAGCTTAAAAATCTCGCATCCTTCGCATATCTGTTATACTCTTCGCATTCGGCAGATCCAACCATACGGGCGACCATTTGGCATGGTCGTAAATTTTTTTCACGCCCTAATGGGATAACCAAGATCAGGACGAACAAATCAAGCTGTTGTAGCGAAGATCGCGTCGTACTATTGAGTTTTCCCGCTTCCCCTCAGCTCGTATCATATGTAGGTTGACATGCGGCGGTTATAGAGATCGTTGCGCAAATAGAACCGACGCGGCAGTCGTCGAGTCAGATCAAATCATGGCTACCGCTGTCACCGCCGCCGATCCGCACTGCGCTGAAAGCGCCGACGCGGGCGGCGGGGTTGACGACGCGACGAAGGGCGGCGCGGGCGAGGGCGCGATCTCGTACGACGCGTACCGATCGGAGGAGGCGGATCTGGCGGCGGTGATGCGGCTGGTGCAGTGCGAGCTGTCGGAGCCCTATTCCGTCTTCACCTACCGCTACTTCCTCCACCACTGGCCGCACCTCACCTTCCTCGCGCGCGCCCCGCGCTCCGCCAGCCAGGACGGGGCTGAGGCGGCGGAGGGCGAGGCGGAGGGGCGGTGCGTGGGCGCGGTGGTGTGCAAGATGGAGGCGGAGCGCGCCGTGCCGCGCGGGTACATCGCGATGCTCGTCGTCGCCAAGGAGTTCCGCGGGCGACGCATCGCGACGAGCCTCGTGTCGCGGTGCATCGAGGCGATGCGCGACGCAGGGTGCGCGGAGGTGGTGCTTGAAGCGGAGGTGACCAATGAGGGCGCGCTGGCGCTGTACGGGAATCTAGGGTTCATACGCGCTAAGCTGCTGCACCGGTACTATTTGAACGGCTCAGATGCGTTCAGGCTGAAGCTGCTGCTGCCGTCGGCTGGCGATGCGGTGGAGGAGGAGGAAGAGGCGGCTGTGGCGGCTGCGATGGGTGCTGGGGCGGGCGGGCTGGCTGCTGGCATGCAGCGGGGATGCTGTGGGCATGACCATGGGCACGGGCACGGGCATGGGCATGGGCATAGTCATTCGCATGGGCATGGTCATTCCCATGGTCACTCGCATGGGCATGGTCACTCTCATGGGCATGGTCATAGTCATGGGCATTCGCATGGACACAAGCACAGTCATGGGGACGCACATGCACATAGTCATAAAGTTGATGGTTGTTGCAGTGGCAACTCCCACTCCCATGACCATGACCATGGCCATGCACACACCCACACTGATGACCATGCACATGCCCATGACCACACGAATGCACATGACCACGCGCACACAGAGCAGCAGCCCAAGGCACCAGCAACGCCAGAGCCCCATGCGCATGCGCCCACCCCCTCCTCTGCCTCTGAACCCACCAGTGCTGCCACCAGTGCTGGCAGCAGCGGCAGCACAGAGGGGCGCAAGGCGGGGGCCAAGGGGCCGGCAGGGCGACGCAAGGGAAAGGGGGGCAAGGGAGGCAAGGGGAGATGATGCTGGGGGGAGGCCGTGTGGTTGAAGGCGGGTGTTGGGCTTGTGCTGTTGTGGCTTGTGGTTCGGATTGTGTTTCACTAGTGCCTAAGTTGGATGTTTCATTTGAAGGTGTTTCTAGAGCACAAGCAGCTGTGCTGCTTTAAAATATCAGTAAAATGAGAAAGGGGGGGAAAATGTGAACAAGAAGTTAGCTTTCTCGAATCAAACAAAGTTTTCTCAGATCAAACAAATACCGCAGGGTGCCATAATACGCATGTCTTGATAGTACTGTTGCAGCTGGGTGGGGGTGGGGGGTGAACGCAGCTGTGGGGAGGGGGGGGAATGCAGCCAGGTGGGGGGGGAACGCAGCCAGGTGGGGGGAGAACGCAGCAGGGTGGGGGGGGAACGCAGCCGGCTGGGGGGGGAACGCAGCCGGGTGGGGGGGGGAACGCAGCTGGGTGGGGGGAAACGCAGCCGGGTGGGGGGACAACGCAGCTGGGTGGGGCACAGCGAAAATGGAGTGGTTGAATTGTGGTGGGAGGGGGGGAACGGGGAAAGCGCATGGCCCACGGCACCAGATCAGCAAGCTGAGCCAGCGAGGGGGGCCTGGGGTAGAGAGGGACGCGCGCATGGCATGAATGCACTCCCTCTCCAACGAATCTCTCCCACCATTCCCAATGTACTGCACTCTACACGAACTCTGCTGCCATAGCACCATGGACCACCACCATGCGCCAAGAAACGAATGCACGTGAAACAGAAAGATGGGGATAGAAAAGGAAAAAGGAAGGACGGGTTGCGGAGGGGAGACTTCCTACAGGAGAAGCGTGGACGCAGAGAGTGAGTCGCAATCCTTCAGGGCGGCAGCAGCAAGTAGCAGCGTCCCACGCAGATCGTCGCCATCAGATGAACGTGGCGTGCGATTGATTGGATGCTGTCTTGTGCACGCGAGGGAGAGGGAGAGGCGCCACTGCTCTGGGGGACTGTGAGGAGGAGGCGCCACTGCTCTGGGGGGTTGGGAGGGAGAGGCACCGCAGCTCTGGGGGGTTGTGAGGGCGGTTGTGAGGGTGCAGGGCGGAGAGGGGAGGGTGGAGGGTGGAGGGTGGAGGGTGGTTTGTAGGGTGGAGGGAGAAGAATGGAGGGTGGAGGGAGGAGGGTGGAGGGTGGAGGGTGGAGAAAGGAGGGAGGAGGGTGGAGGGAGGAGGTTGGAGGAAGTACAGTGGAGGGTGGAGGGTGGAGGGTCGAGGTTGAGGGAGGAGGGTGAAGGGAGGAGGGTGGAGTGTGGAGGGTGGAGGGATGAGGGAGGAGAGTGGTGGGAGGAGGGTGGAGGATGGAGGATGGAGGCTGGAGGGTGGAGGGTGGATGGATGAGGGTCGAGGGAGGCGGGTGGAGGGTGGAGTGTGGAGGGTGGAGGGTGGAGGGTGGAGGGTGGAGGGAGGAGAGTGGAGGGTGGAGGGAGGAGGATGGAAGGAAGAGGGTGGAGGGAGGAGGGTGGAGGGAGGACAGTGGAGCGTGGAGGGTGGAGGTTCAGGGAGGAGGGTGGAGGGAGGAGCGTGGAGGATGGAGGGTGGAGGGTGGAGGGTGGAGGGTGGAGGGAGGAGTATAGAGGGAGGAGTATGGAGGGAGGAGGGTGGATTGTGGAGGGTGCAGGGAGGAGGTTGAGGGTGGAGGGTGGAGGGTGGAGGGAGGAGAGGGGAGGATGGAGGGTGGAGGGTGTAGTGGAGGGTGGAGGGTGGAGTGGAGGGTGGAGGGAGGAGAGTGGAGGGTGGAGAAAGGAGGGAGGGGGGTGGAGGGAGGAGGGAGGAGGGATGACAGTCAGGGTGGAGGGTGGAGGTTGAGAGTGGAGGGTGGAGGGAAGAGGGATGATGGAGGGTGGAGGGTGGAGGAGGAGGGTGGAGGGAGGAGGGTGGAGGGTGGAGTGTGGAGGGTGGAGGGTGGAGGGAGGAGGGTGGAGGGTGGAGGGTGGAGGATGGAGGGAGGAGGGTGGAGGGTGGAGGGTGGAGGGTGGAGGGTGGAGTTTGCAGGGTGGAGGGTGGAGGGAGGAGGGTGGAGGGAGGACAGTGGAGGGTGGAGGGTGGAGGTTGAGGGTGGAGGGTGGAGGGAGGAGGGATGAGGGAGGAGGGTGGAGGGAGGAGGGTAGAGGATGGAGGGTGAAGGGAGGAGGGTGGAGGGAGGAGGGTGGAGGGTGGAGGGTGGAGGGTGGAGGGTGGAGGGTGGATGGTTGAGTTTGGAGGGAGAAAGGTGGAGGGAGGACAGTGGAGGGTGGAGGGTGGAGGTTCAGGGTGGAGGGAGGAGGGATGAGGGAGGAGGGTGGAGGGAGGAGGGTAGAGGATGGAGGGTGGAGGGAGGATGGTGGATGGAGGAGGGTGGAGGGTGGAGGGTGGAGGGTGGATGGTTGAGTTTGGAGGGAGGAGGGTGGAGGTAGGACAGTGGAGGGTGGAGGGTGGAGGTTGAGGGAGGAGGGTGGAGGGAGGAGGGATGAGGGAGGAGGGTGGAGGGAGGAGGGTGGAGGGTGGAGGGTGGAGGGAGGAGGGTGGAGGGAGGAGGGTGGAGGAAGGAGGGTGGAGGGTGGAGGGTGGAGGGTGGAGTTTGGAGGGTGGAGGGAGGAGGGTGGAGGGTGGAAGGTGGAGGGTAGAGTTTGGAGGGTGGAGGGTGGAGGGAGGAGAGTGGAGGGAG